AATCGAACACCCGAGTTTGTATTTTTGACGCCAATTCTAAACAGCTAATCTAATTGAGGCAAATAATATGGCGTTGGAAAGCTTATGAAAATGCGCTACTTTTTTATGTTAATAGTTTTTTCTAATTCTGAATGGTTTAAAAGTAATTTAGAAAACGGTACAAGTTCCACCGAGTTCGTATTTTCGAGCTAATTTTTTAACCGTACGTCCAAATGCAACAAATGATATGGCGTTGGAAAGCTTGAAGAAATGCGAAACTTTTTTGTATATATTGTTTCTCCTAATTCATTACGGTTTTATGTCAGTTTTGAAAATGGTTAAAAACGTATTTTTGCCGTAATTTCTACAAACTTTATTGGAATGGGGCAAATAATATACCGCTGAAAAGCTACGGAAAATGCGAAACTTTTTCATGTTGATGGTTTTCTCTGATTCCTAGTCGTTTTCAAGTAATTTCGAAAACGGCGGGATCATACGTTCTGCCTTTATCGTGAAACAGATTCTTCGAAAATGCACCGCGTGAAGAACCTGAACTTATCGACGCGTGTACCTGAACTTCACTCTGTTTTTCATGTGATTTTTTTGCTCGTAGGTCTCCATCCACTTGCTCGTAACTCTCCATCCATTCACCGGAATTGAGTAGGTGATATACCGATGGAAAGCTGCTGTAAGCACGCAAGTTTCCCATGTTGATCATCTTTTTATACTCGCGACAATTTTAAAAGTTTTTCATCTAAAATTCATTCAGTGTAGTTGATGAACTTCGTGCTGTTTTCATGTTGAACTTCTGTGACATATTTTTGTTTGTAATTTTCTCATCCATTTCGTCAGTGTTACATAAATGATATTCTTTTTGTACAAACCTCTCTCACAATATTTTTTTAACTTTCTCCGATCGAGGACTTGAACTTACACAGATGATATTCCTGTCGTTTTGAATAAAATTAGAGAAATGACGAGATCATGATTTCTGCGTTCATTGCGAATGGAAACGCATTGCGTGAAGTAGTTGAACTTCTCGGGGTATGTCTGTTTGAACATCACTTTGTTTTTGACGTGTTGTTTTTTGCACCGCGTGAAAGTAGTTGAACTTCTGGGGCATGTCTATTTGAACTTCATTCTGTTTCACTTTATTGTTTTTTTCTTGTATGAAATACACACCATGTAGTACGTGAACTTCTGGTTATTATCACTTTGAACTTCTCTCTGGTTTGAGAGAATTATTTTAAAACAGAAAAAACAACATATTTTTTTACGTATTTTGAACATCTAAATACAAGGTTAACCTCTCACAAGAATTTTTTGAACTTTTCCTCACCGACCACTTGAACTTCTAGCAACTATTTTTTCGTTTATGAGTTGTTTTTAAAAGTGCAAAAAATGGCGTTGTGTTTTTTATTTTTTAAACAGGTAAATCATAGGTTTAAATATACTTCGAACTTCTCTCTTTTTTCAATATGAAGTTCACCTATTTATATTTTGAGTAAAGAATTGTATTAGATTTTTATGCGGAAAAAATCTAACATGGAATACAAGGTGAACCTCTCTCGCAACAATTTTTGAACTTCTCCGGACAGAGCACTTGAACTTCTTTCAACAAACTTTTTAAGATTTTATTTTTCTATACATTTTTATGTTGAACTTCTAGATTTTTATCTTTTTGTTAGCAAGGTAAATTCGATTTTTAATTTGAACTTCTTACTTTTCAAAACCTGAACTTCTTGGGTTTTATTAAAGCAGTGAAAATCAACTACTCTACTATTCTAAATTGAACTTCTAGGTTTTTCTTTTTATTATGACTGAACTACTTTGTTAGTTTAATTCGAACTTCTTGGTTTCTTTTAGAAACAGAGAAAATCTGAATTTTGATCAGGAAAATCTAAATTTTCATCACATTTCATAGTTTCTTTGTTACCCATTTGTTGAATTTATTTTAATTATAATTATGTTACATGTGAGCTCTGTGTGTTTGTACTCATGGGGGACAACCATGCAAACTTCGGGAATTAGAGAACATATACTTTTGAGTACAACCTTTTCGAGAAATTCACCATTCTTACTCTATGCGAACTTCATTTTTTTAATATATGAACTTCTGTGGGTTTTTACATTTTTTTCTGCACGTGAATTTTGTACGTGAAACTTTCTATCATGTTATATATTTTTGAACTTTTTCATTTCTTGTATTTGAACTTCTTTCTTTTTATACACAAAAGGAAAATAAAATCACCCTTTTTTCACGCACGTAGGAAGAGGAACGCACATGATTTTTTTGAACTTCTTTTGTTTATTTAGAATGTTTTAAATTAACTTTTATGATGTTTTTTCTTTGAAACTATAACCAGATTTGTTCTGACATATCAAAGTATATTTTGAGCTGTAAGGAATACTCGGTTGTTTTCTTAAACTCTAGGAATTAAAAACGAAGCATTTTTTGCTGTAAGAAATGCTCGCTTGTTTTAATTTGAACTTTGACATTTTCTATGCGTTGAATTTGAAGGAGGGAGCTGAAAACCATGGTGAGATAATTGAAATGCGTCATCCTTTTTAACTAGAGAGGGTGCTTCTTGTTTTTGTTTCAACGAGTTCTAATTCAGTAGGCTATTCAGACTAAAGAGACAACAAAAACGTAGGCGCACCCATTTTTTGATGACACCACATAATTTTTATATAGACAGAATGAATTCACAGAACCAAAGGATCGATTATAGATCTCAAAGACACACGTCAGTCACAACAGAACAAACATGTGAAATCATCAATTGAAAAACATATAGAAAGATGGGACGCGTAGATGTGAACACTGCAAACCAATTTTTGCTCTGCACGGGCGCCCGAGAAAGAGTGGTAGCAGGGCGCCGCTGGTGCTGGGCACTAGGAGCGCTGCTTGGTGGCTGGAGCAACTTAGAAGAAGCTAATAGGGGATGAAGGTCTCTTGTTAGGCCTCGGGCAGGTCATGTTCTTATGCCGACACACACGATAGAGCATAGGGGAGAGCGCCATGTCGACCATGGCAGGGAAGCTTGAACTCCTCGCGTCGTTGTGGCAGCGGGAGGGGCGACCGCCGAGCAGCTGAGTACGCCGGGGCTAGGGGAGGCAAGTCTTTCTAATCTCGCCCCGTGTCCTCGAAGTGATGTTTGTACTGCCGCTGAAGTCCAGATACACCTCACCTTGAAGGAGGGGCCGGCCTCGCGCCGGAAGATGGTAGGGGCGGCGGTGCGCCAGGAGGAGGCGGAGCCGGCCTCGCGCGGGAAGTAGGCAGGGGCGGAGGCGCGTCGAGTTCGAGGGAGGGGCCAGGTGGGGATCTGACCCGCCGGGAGCACTGAGTGGAGGTGCGTGGTTGCTGCAGCGGTTGGGGCGGCGGCCGAGTCACGGGAACCGGCGGTTAGGCAGGATCCGGTGCTGCTCTGGCAGATCTGGGTGGGGGAAGACCGGCGGCGGGACCACTGGTACCATGGGTGGGGGCGGTGGCTCTCTGGGG